CTGGGAGCAGCAAGAGCAGCGGCAGCGGCGGCAGCAGCAAGAATGAACTGCAAGGAAGAAGATGACAACTGCACTGATGGGAGCAGCAATAACACGAAGAAGATGTTAAAATGCGTGGTGGTTGGGGACGGTGCAGTTGGGAAAACCTGTTTGCTGATGAGTTATGCCAACGATGCCTTCCCAGAGGAGTATGTGCCCACTGTGTTTGACCACTATGCAGGTAAGAAAGTGCTTTAAAAGAAATTTAATTGAGAGCTGCAGGAGGGCCAGGTGGGAGGTAGAGGAAGATCAAGGAGAGGAGAAGACGGTTCAAAGGGGATGCATGGGTTACTTTTGTCCGGGAATGTTATTCGGGCCTGGATGATAGCCAGGCAGCTTAGATGGCAGCTCATACAATTGGGACAGTGCAGGATTTATTCAGAGAATTTATTTGTTTGCTTCCAATTTTTATTTTGTTCTTGGCAAATAAGCAGCATTAGGGATGCAATTAAATCCCCTGGATTTTTGGGACAGCAAATATAATTCAGCCTCCATTGATTTATATTCTTGCTTTGTTTTTGAAATTCTGAAGTTCTGAACTTTGCAGGCTGCAGTTAAGATGAAGGCTATATATATGTATATATACACACATAAAAATATATGCTATCAGTGATCTTGTGCCTCATGGCAAATGATGCATAAATTATAATATTTATATCCTATTTAAGGAGTAATCTTTGAGAAAACCAGCATAGTCTCTTTCAGTGCTGTCAGAATAGAACTTTCCTTTCAGAGACATTTGTTACTCCATCTATAAATACATTTTATTACTATAAGTTGATGGTAGGGAAAGCAGAATTGGTGATTGGTTTGAGTACTTTATAGTGAGGGAATCTGTAGTTTAAGAAAAAAATATGAACATAATCAAGGTCATCAATGATGTTCACTGCATCGCTGTGCAAAACAGACCCACAGCTTAAGTACAATATTCGCAGGCCTCTTTCTGCAGCAACTACTTACTTTACCCAGCTGGGTCCAAAGTTATCATGCAGATGGTGTGATAGGCTAAAACTGTTGCTCAAACTTCTGCTTAAATTTTCCTATCTCAAATTCTGCTGTTTTTCTTCTCTCACTGCTCCTTTGGCTTATGGTTGTTGTTGTTTATGAGATCCCTGAAAAACAGATTCTAGAAGCACTGCAAAACTCATTGCTTATCTTCCAGCAGCAGTTGGAGTTTCCCTCATTCTCTCCCCACCTCCTTAAAAACTGAATTTTCATGGTGTGGCTTATCATAGATTTGGTATTCTGTAATGGGAAAATCTCTGTTTTCATTCTGGCTTCGTGTCAGGTTTAGCAGATGAACTGGCCAAACAAGAAAGCTGTGTAATTGCAGAATCTGATCCATGGAAATGTGAAGACCTTTTCCTCCACAAGAGAGGGCAGCATCACTTCTAATGCAAGCAACACTCTCTTTCCTCCACCCTTCCCACCAGATAGATTAAATGACCATTTTAGAAAAAAACCTTTACCCAGAAAAGATATAAGAATATAGCATGGTGGAAATAAGTACTTCCATGAGCCAAAACCCCTAAGGAAGCCTGGCTGCATGAATTGATGTCTTAGATTGCAACAGCACCCACTTTCCCGTGATAAGCTGAGATCTACTTGTCCCTTACAGCCTCGGTCCCTGTCATTACGCCGGTCCCAGCACCCACTGCCCTTCTCTCTCTCCCATGCCCTGCGAATACCTCTGCGTATGGAAAAACCCGTACAATAGCCAGTACCAGATCATGTGTGGATCGTCCTGTGGGCTGCATGGTTTTGGTGTGAGCGTGGGGGCACACGTGTGTGCATGGGGGCTGTGCACACACATAGGTGCCGATGCCAGCCAGGCAGGCTGGCACTTGGTGGGGGCACTATGCCCAGTTTCTCTTCCCTACCCAGCCGCAGGTGGCTCGCAGGGACTTGCTTTGATTTCCTTTCCTCTCTGTCAGAAGTGGTAGAAATTGCCAGTGGGCTCAAAAGTTACTGAGGGAGAGGAGGGCTGAGAGAAGGATGGGAAGATGAAGAGTGGTCTTGTGTAATCCTTATTTCCTTAGGGTGCCAGGTAGAAGCAGTATGCATTCACTTTCAAATCAAGCTACATTTTCAGAGTTTGAAGATTTAGACCTCTGAAACACCTCCAGCTATTCTTATTTGTCTTCTTAACTATCATAGCACATAAATATAAACTAAGAATGTTTTCAATGAGAAAGTCCAGAAAGATAAGGGAAAAAATAGCTCTGTATATTAACGTGCTATTCTGAGACAAGCCCTGTCCAGCGGCAATGGTCAAAACTAGCACTGATCAAAAATGGAATTCCAGTTTTTTGAGAAATCTCACCATTTATAAAACCTATTTCACTACAAAACTGCAAGCAGGCATGAGCAGTGACAATGAAGGAATGAGCAGTGAAAATGACTTCTGGAGCAGACTGCTGGAAAAAACCCAGTCATATAACATAAAAATATTACATGGCATAAAGTATAACATAAACCTATTTAAAACACTGTAGGGATTGTGAGAGAAAAGAGCTCACTTGGGACAACCTTGCCCCTGGGTTCAGAGCCTTTATCACATTCTGTGACAACAGCCCCTTCCACATCTGTGTGGCAGCCCATGGCCAAGAGGAGAGGTGACACGGTGGTACCACGGGCACGGTGGTACCACAGGCATGGTGGTACCACAGGCACCATGGCACACAGGGAGGCTTTGCACGCAGACAGATCCTGCAGGATGGTTGAGGCTCTGGAAAATCGCATTTGATTTTACCCCAGGGAAATAATTTATCTGCCCCTGCCCTTGCTCTGCCAAAACCAACTGTTTCAACTTTCCCAAACAAGCTGAAACCATTTGATTCAGTTCTCCTGTGCTCAAAATTAATGCTTAAAAAATTAATGCTCAAAAGCAATTAATTGCTGCAGATTTTTGCAAAGCTGCACTTTCCATCGAAAGTTTTTCACCCAGGCATTATGACCAGCAGTGATGTGTTAGCAAGAGCTTCCTCTTGCCTCACCAGGTCACAACCTGGTTGTGAGTCCCAGGGTATTTACCAATTTCCTTCTTTCTAATGGAAGAAGTAGGGAGCAGGGGAAGCATTAAAAATCGAGAATTCCAGAGGTGATCTCAGAGCAGTTTCTCACTGTCATGGCTCCAGCAACTCGGGGGAGGCAGTGATACTATCCAGCCCAGCATTGGGAAAAGCTCCAGATGCACCACTGCTGTGGCCAATGTGTTAACCATTCACGGCCCCACGCCACCAGCTATGTTTCCTTGCCCTGCTGCATTGCGACTAAAAGTTCCTTCCCTGGGCAGGTTTTCATGGCACAGGTGAAGCAGGTGAACTTACCAACAAGGGTGGCCCAGAGGAAGAAACCAGCATTTCAAAGGCCTGAGCTCCAACAGTATTAATTCTGTACAGTACTTATTCAGCGCCTTTCACATGAAAGGGCTTGAAACCACTTTGTAATATTTGGGTTCAACCTGCCTCTAAGAAAATCAAAGGCAGGACATGGACTTCACCCTGGGAAGGAACAGGCTTTCTGCAGATATCTCACACAGCATTTACAACTGAGGTACGGCAAAGCCCTGAACAAAAGGTTATTGGTGTTTCATCATGTGTACAGCTGCACTGTACAGGAGTCCAAACCAGTTATTAGCTCCACACTAGTAATATTCTGCCACAGATTTCACCCACAGTCCACAAAAATGAATTTGTTCAGGGCCTGTTGCCGGAGTTGGGATGTGAAGGATGTAGAGTAGGGTCAGTGGCAACGCCAGACAGATGGGGAAGGCAAATTTGGTATTTGGATATGAAATTTGGGTTCTTTTGTTGGATGTGTGGAAGTTTATGAGTAGTTATTTCTCAAGGCATTTTGAAGAGGTTTTGCTGGAGGTCAGAGCCCTGAGTAGGTTTCCATACCTTTGGTGAAATTCCAAGCCCCACACTGAAAGGGTTTAGCCACGAGGTAAATGGCTATTTCTAGGGCAGGCGAACCAAAGTGCTATCCCAGTGACAAACAGGATATTACTGGCAATAACTGTAACAATAGGGACTGTTTGGATAGTGAGTAGATGTTTTAACATGCTGGTTCCATTCCGTCTTTTGAACATCAAATGCTGATTTTCCGTGAGCAAAGGTCTCTCAGCCTGGGTGACTTGTATTGTGTCTAACTATGTGAGGTTATAAATGTTTAATTACGGCTGAGGTTGCACCAACAAAAAAAATTCCATTCAGCTACTAGTGGAGTTGGTTTAATAGTACCAAAATTAACTGGTTTGCTTTGTGAAAGCATGTTGTTTGCTACTTAGGCAATCACTGAGCATCCCGTTTGATACTCATGAGCCCTAAAATATCAGCAATTTTTAGCATGAAATTTATTCACCCTAAAATTTATATTCAGGCTTCCTAGAGAGGTGGTCGATGCCCCAAGCCTGTCAGTGTTTGAGAGATATTCAGACAACGCCCTTAATAACAGGCTTTAACTTTTGGTCAGCCCTGAAGTGGTCAAGCAGTTGGACTAGGTGATCACTGTAGGTCCCTTCCAATTGGAACTATTCTATTCTGTTCTGTTCTGTTCTGTCCTATTCTCTTCTAAAAGTGTATTTGGTTTTCTATGTAAAAAAACCTCAGTGACTGAGGAGTAGTACCAATGCCATGCAACTAACTTAGCCCACTGTGCAGACAAAAGTGAATGGACTCATTAGATGGTTGAAGTCTAAGGAGAAGAGGATGATAAGTCTTAAATTGTCTAGTTTAGGCATGACACATAGGTGAATGTCATACCAATAGCTTTAGGAGTCAAAGTTGCATCTTCTTTGGTAAACAAGAGAGAGGTCAGCCCCTCCAAAAGAGAACTGCAAAGCATCTGCACTAAAGACATGAAGTAGATGGTGTAAATATGTCCCTCCCTCTCCTCATGTGTCTGCACAAACTGGTGAACATTTATAAATAGTGAATCCATTTGAAAAAAATTAGCAGTGGCATGTGATCAGCTAATGAATAGCATACAGAATAGTTCAGCCATGACTGAAGCTCTGTAAATTAAAAGCAATATAGAAGACAACTGCCATTAATTACTGTTAGGAGACACATTTTTTGTTCTTTAGTGATGATTCAATCTAATCTGTCTGACTTTGCACTGAAGTGGGCTGGAGCGCTAACTGGTCTCGCAGAGCAGTGATCCCAACCTTGCTGGCCA